GAAGAATGGACGTTCTTCGTCTGCCCTAGGGCTCTATGGGGAGCTCCTATGCCGTGGTCTCCGGTCCCCCAAAGGAGCGGGGGACCGTGAAAACCACGGCGGGGGGCCCCGGACACGATCGCCGCCGCCGCTCGATTTGATACAAGTGATCTATTTAGATCACTTGTATTAAACGAGCAGCGGCCCCCACTGTATATTTAGTTCTGCTTGTCCGGAGCAGGGCTGAATGTACAAAAAAACTACTTGCCTTGCGCCCGAAACTGCATGTCTCGGGCATCGGGCGATAGGGATTTGCTCCATAAGATGCACAGACATTTTTGCCCGCCTTTTGGGGGGAAAAAAGTGCATCTTATGGAGCGAAAAATATGGTATATGACATGAGCACTGCTAGCAGTAACTGATTAGATCACTTGTATTAAACGAGCAGCGGCCCCCACTGTATATTTAGTTCTGCTTGTCCGGAGCAGGGCTGAATGTACAAAAAAACTACTTGCCTTGCGCCCGAAACTGCATGTCTCGGGCATCGGGCGATAGGGATTTGCTCCATAAGATGCACAGACATTTTTGCCCGCCTTTTGGGGGGAAAAAAGTGCATCTTATGGAGCGAAAAATATGGTATATGACATGAGCACTGCTAGCAGTAATAATATGACTGAGCAGAACATACTAGTAATAATGGTATGATTGTAAGACTGGCCTGGGGACTGCTTACAATAATAAGTTAATAATATGACTGACCTAAACAATTCTAGCAAATATGGGTCTTTAAAACAGCTAAAATACCCTCACAGTGCGCTCTTGAAACAAGACCACACCGTTCTAATCACTCGACTTGTGAACAAGTCTAAACACTTCACACAATGTAAAACATTTTTCAGTTAAGGAAATTGTATATATAAATCACTTATAACAGCACTGCAAACATCCATGTTTCATTTAGATCTGGGTACATATTAGTCTAGTCTGAACTATGTAAGTGTTAAATTAAATAATAAAGTTTCTGCCATGCTTCCACAGCTGCACTGTGGTAAGATTATAAGGCAGGTTTCTGATGTGGAAGGGGGGCTAAGGACTCTGATGTGAAGGGGGGCTCCTGATGGGAAGTGGGGACTCTGATGGGAAGGGGGGGACACTGATGTAAAGGGGAAACCCATGTTTTGTTGTTTTTGTTTTTTGAGTGGGGTCCCCCTTAAAATCCATAACAGACCCCTATCTAGGATAAGGGTCTGGTATAGATTTTGGGGGAACCACATTTTTATATTAACATTTTTTACATTCTAGACTTGGGTGCCTCAAGATTTAGCATACTTTCACAGAGTTTCATAACTGAAAAAAGGATGAAAAACGTTGAGCTAGAAAACTGAGCTGAATGGTTTTTGACATGCAAGGAACCCAGTCAAACATCCTCTGCATGTCTGAAGCATGGACTAAATTACATTTGGTCTGGTGTTTACCTGGCAGCATCAGCTGTATGTGGAACATGTCAAGTCAACACAGTGACACTTAAAACACAGGAAAAGGTAATGTTAGCATGTCTGAGTTATACAAGTTATATATAGGGTTCTGCAGTTCTACAAATTCGATCATGCGTCTTCCTCTGGAAGTCATGCCTGTGGTTGTCAGAATCTTGCAATGCATCATGGAATTTGTAGTTTCACCACAGCTGGAGTGACAAGGTTGCATACCCCTGGTATATATGCTATGGAACCATATACTATACATACTATGGAACAGGGAGGTGTATAGTGACCAAGAGACCCAATAAAGTTAGTGTAACTACAGTATACTAAAGAAAACGAATGTAGCCACCATACCTTAGGAATGGTAAGCTGCAATATATATATTTTTTTTTGGGGTGGGGTTTATTGATGCTTTTAACACAGGAAAGAGCAAGTGACTGGAATGTATGTTTCTGTTTCCACAGAGTAGGCATAGAAAATGATTTTATTAATCACTTCCAAATCAGGTGTTTAGACCCCCTTCCTGGCCAGGCCATTTTTCAGTATTCAGCGCTGCAGTACTTTGACTGACGTTTATTCCGTCATGCAACGCTGTACTGAAATTAATTTTATATCATTTTTGGGGACAGATAGAGCTTTCTTTTGGTGGTATTTAAACACTACTGGGGGTTTTATTTTTTACTATAATTAGGAAAAATTACAGACTATTTTGAAAAAAAAAAAGGTTTTTTTTTACATTGTTAGGAAACATTTATTATTACCTTAGGAGCCAGATGACTGACAGGTGAATGCGGAAGTGATGTAATACACATCACTTCTGCATTCACACTACAGAGGGAGAACAGCAAGGAGCTGATCTCCCTCCCTCCTCCTGATGCCCTCCCGAGCCGGTCCCGTGCCGCAGATGGGCTAGCGGATCTCGGGATTAAAGGTGAGGGGTCAGGAGCGGGGAGATGGCGGCACTTGCGATTGGGGGGGGCGCTCCGTAATTCACGCCATACAACCGATCGGTGGCTATAGAGCCGCTGATCGGTTGTATGTGAAACAGCCGTTAACGGCTGTAGTAACGAGCGGGTCTATCCTGCCCTTGCGCGCGCTAGGGGGCGCGCACCAGCAGGAAAAAAATGCCGTCTGGCGACGGCAACCCGCAGATGCGAGTCTGACGTCCGTCCGTTTTTTCTTAACGGGCAGACGGCAAGAGGTTATAGGCAAAAGTCTCACCAAATCCATAAAATGAGAAACCGCCTGCTAATTTAATTCTCCAGTAGTATTATTATTATTATTATTATAAAGGATTTATATAGCAACAAACGTTTGTGCAGTGCTTTACAAGATAAGGAAGACATTACAGTTACAGCACAAATCAAGACAGAGAGCTTACAAGCTAAAAGGGAGGGGTAAGTGATACAAAAGTTGGTAGATGTGTGGGGATGAATTGTTTGAGAAGCAGTGGTTAGGTTGAGGCAGGATAGGCTTCCCTGAAGAGTTGAGTCTTCAGTTATCGACCAAAGGCAGACAGAGTAGGCGATAGCAGGACAGGTTGGGGTAGGGAGATCAAGAGGATGGGAGAGTCTTTAGAGAAGCACTGGAGACAATCATGGGAGGAGATGATAAAAGAACTTGAGAACAGCAGGTCTTGAGAGGAGCGGATAGGGTGGTTAGAGTGATATTGTGGGTTTAGGTTGGAGATATAGCCAGGGGGTAGAGCTGTGGATGGCTTTGTAAGTGGTTGTTAATATTTGTTGTTAATAAATTTTATCCTAGGTGAGGGATTGATAGAGGGTGGGATGCAGACACTGAGCGATTGGTTAGGTGGATGAGTCTAGAAGCAACATTTATGATAGACTGAAGGGGGGCATAGCCTGTGTAAAGGTAGGCCAATGTCAGTGGATGAATAGTTTCATAGTTTCATTGGTGAGGTAGGGGCATATTTTGGAGATGTTATGAAGGTAAAGGCGGCTGGATTTGGAAACTGATTGGATCAAGGTCCTAGGTGTCATCCTTGACTCGGACCTCACCTTTCTTCCCCACATCCAATCACTATCCAAATCCTGCCGCCTTCACCTTCGTAACATCTCCAAAATATGCCCCTTCCTCACCAAAGAAACTGCAAAATGACTCATCCACTCCCTTGTTATCTCTCGTCTTGACTATTGCCACTCCATCCTCATTGGCCTACCTCTACATAGGATATCCCCCCTTCAGTCTATCATGAATGCAGCTGCTAGACTCATCCACCTAACCAACCGCTCAGTGTCTGCAACCCCCCTCTGCCAATCCCTCCACTGGCTTCCAATAGCCCAAAGGATAAAATTCAAAATATTAACAATCAGTTACAAAGCCGTCCACAACTCTGCCCCCGGCTATATCTCAAACCTTGTCTCAAAGTATCACCCTAACCGTCGGCTCCGCTCATCCCAAGACCTCCTGCTTTCTAGCTCCCTTGTCAACTCCTCCCATGCTCGCCTCCAGGACTTCTCTAGAGTCTCTCCCATCCTCTGGAATTCTTTACCCCAACCTGTCCGTCTGTTGCCCACCTTGACTGCCTTTAGGCGATCCCTAAAGACTCATCTCTTCAGGGAAGCCTATCCCACCTCAACCTAACCACTCAACCATCACGTTCTCAAACAACTCATCCCCACACAGCTTCCTCCTCATGTATCACTTCCCACTCCCTTTTAGATTGTAAGCCCTCAAGGGCAGGGCCCTCCTTACCATCTTGTCTTGAATTGTATTGTGGTTGTAATGTCTGCCCTATATTGTAAAGTGCTGCGCAAACTGTTGGCGCTATATAAATCCTGCATAATAATAATAATAATAATAATCTGTGGCAGAGAGGTGAGTTCGGAGTCAATGATCACACCTGCATCCACCATCTAGTGAAATTTCAGTTTTGGCCTTTATAAGCCTTTCATTTAAATAGAGTTGCTGAACAGTTTTCAGAATTCCGGCACCACTATGTAATTATCAGAACTAGATTAATGTTTTCCATACACCTCAAGAATGGGCTAAAAGAGAACATTTCCTCAATTCCCCCATTTATGCTGAAGAGCATAATGAAGAGCAATCTCCCTTGCTGCCAGTTGTATTCTAAGCTGACTGGTTGCAGTCACTGTTCGGCCAACAACTTTCCAACTAGCTCCTCCAACAAAAGTCAATTGGAGAATCAACTTTTGTCCAGCCGGGTGGTGCTGGCAGGGCCACCCACAGATGATTTTGAGGCCAGGAAACCAGATTTAGATTTCAAAAGTTAATACCCAATAATTGTTCTTTCCATCACATCACTAAATTAAACATACAGTATCTATTTATTTTGCTCCATAACCACAGAACTGGATGCATGGAAAGTAGTATTTTCAAGCAATTGTTCATGCAAGTCTTTTAATATTACTTTAGTTGGTTTTCTGTGACTGTGACCACAATGAGGAAAGCAATAGGGGGAGTCCCTAGTCTTTGATGCACGGTGGGAGGGGTATGCTCTATTTACAAACTATATAACTACTATTGTCGTTAGTTTACACAACACATAGAAAAAAAAATTGGTGCATTATGTCTCGTGCCAGCTCAGCTTTTTGCATTTTGTGTATCTTGTTGCTAGGACTCCAAACCCTGACCCACGCTGCAGGTGAGTGTTTATTCACAGACTGCACCTTAAACACGTCTTGTTATATCATTAGACTGAAAAACAATGATCTGTTATCAGGATAGATGATTAAAAACATAATACAAATTTAGAGCAGTTGACCAAGAACCATATACTCCTTTGCTGCAATAATTACGATTAGGGATAGTAAGAAAAGTAAAAGAACAAATCATCTTTGTTTTTTATATTTACCAGTTTTGAACCTTTCTGTGTCTGTGTGAGTGCCGAGGCATTAGTCACATGGTCTCTGCCAAAGAAGGTGGTCAGAATTTCGGCAGACCCTTAGGTAGCCTGTTAGTAAAGACCATGTGATCAGTTGCAAAGTATTGCTCACATTACTGGCACAGAGGGGTTCTAAACCGAAAATATGAGACAAAGGTATGTTCTCTTAATTTGTCTCCTGCATTTCTAACAATGTTTACAGTTAAAGAAGGTTTATCTATAAGTATGTGTCCATTTTAAGGAGAGTAGAAAAAATCAGAAATATTTGTAAGATGGTTGCATTATAAAAATAAGGTGAACGCTTCAGGTGCATCACGGCAATCAATAACATAGGAAGCATTTACCTAATATCTATCAAATTAACGCAGTACAGATTTGATGTAGATAGAAGAGCGGCATGGGGCTTCAGGCTTATCCTAGCGCAAAGTTACTAAATATTAGTATTCAGCAATAGGCAAAAGCAATCATGGGTTTCCTTTTGTCTCTGTCTTATCTATAGTATTTGACTGCTGCTATGCCTACACCAAAAAGCCATTGTCACGAAAAGTTGTCAAAGGACACATGATCCAGAACTCACACGAGGTGTGCGACATTGATGCTGTCATGTAAGTGTTTTTGCCTATTTATCATGTATGTGGTTCATTTGTCCCTTTCAGCAACATATACTGTATATATTTATATTGCTTTATACTGAGTTTTAAACAGAGAGCAATGTTTATTCACATGTCTCATTCCATCATATATCCCAAAAATAAGAACATTCCTCATTTTAGGACAGTTGGTGGAGCAATGCAAATCATTGCCCCTTTGATCAGATACATATCGAGGACCACTGGTGTATAGTAAAAATAAAGTCAAATATTATAGAATTACTTATTCCAAACTCCATACAGCCGACTTCGACTATTTGGTCATAATCAGTGCAGTGTATGAAAACTGTGGCCTCTATGGAGTAGGTCTTGGGACCCAACGAGATAGTATACAGTTTGTGGTGAGAAGGGACTAATGGAATCAAAAGTCCTCCAACCAAATCAGTGCGTAGCACAGTAAAGCCTTCCTAATAACAGAAGGTATTCATATGTCTCATTCCACCACATATTCCAATAATTATTCCTCATTTCAGGACACTGGGTAAAGCCTTTCAAAATCTTTGCTGTATGCCCCTTTGGTCAGATAAACTTTTATCCAGGACCACTGGTGTATAGTGAAAAAATTGTCTAATATTATTGAGTTGTGGACTATAATCTCACGATTAGTTTACAAATGTGTATTGATTGACTGATTGTAGTCTATCACGGGAGCCAGCTTGGGGCAGTGGCTACTTTACAACACACACAGGGACCATTGAGAACAAAAGGAAGGAAGGACAGTGTCAGCACCAATTCAGAGATGATTTGAGGATCTACAGCCGAGTGATGCACAAATAAGATACATTTTAATAATTAGTTAAGGTACCCTAATGCATTTTTTAAGGTTTAACTCCTGAGTTTAGTGTCACTTTAGGCAACATTTTTTGCTAGCTTTATAGCAAGTAGGCAATTTAGCAGCAATAGGGGCCACACGCAGTAAATAATAATTTTTGGATATGTACATTATATGTTATTTGAGGTTTTAAGACACTGAAAAGCACAAGGTGTTTCATAACATAAGCTGCTGCTTTTGTAAAGCTATAAAGAGCTTTTGTTATAAGATCATTCTAGATTAAATGAAGGTTAGTGGAGCTCTTCTGTAAACTCTTGACATTACATTAAACATATGTATATATTTTTTGTAGATTGATCACAAAGAAATTCAGAGTGTGTGCAAATCCTAGAGAGGCATGGGTCAACAAACTCGTGTCAGCACTTAAGTAAGTAAACGTTATAAAATATTTCTGACCAACCAAATATTAAAGGTACTACTCATTAAGCACAGCAAAGCTGCCATTGACAGCCCAGTGTCTCCCCAAGGACATTGAGCTGTTAGACATCTGGTCATCTTCAATTGCATCACAACATTGCAAAGACCCAATACAATGTTGTCACTTATTCAACTGGCCCATGTTGTTCCAGTTTCATTCCTTTTACTCCAATGAAAAGAGAATAGTTGTTGGCTATTCATAAAGAGATTTGCCAGGAGATTGGATGATCCCTTTGTGTGACCATAGAAATAAGAAAATACATTTGCAGCTCAATTGTCACTTGTCAATTGATGTATACTGGTAACGTTTGGCCTGTGATTGGGTATCCTGAATTATCTAAAATCAGTTCCTAGGATCACGTTGTCCTTCATCCTACTTCAAAAATGTGCTCTGCAAACTGACACACTGACTACTCTGCCCCCTCACCTTTTATAAGCAAAGGGGCTGGCCCTTATTGGCCTGTTGACCATAGTTCAAAGGTCATGCAGTGCATGTTGGTTTAAAAAAACACATTCTCAAAGCCGCAGGTGAATCTGCACGTAAATTTGTGATGCTCGAACCTGGGATTAGCCTCAAACCCATGGTAGTGGCAAACCTGAACCTCATCTGTAGTTGAAACAATTGTGCCCTTATGAACATAGGGAGTAGCTACGGGGGGGGGGGGAGGTTGCCCTGCCAGTACCGTAAGGAACCATGAGATCATTGGGAACAACCATAACTAAACTCCCCTTATGTAACTACTGTGTGCTCACATCACATTTTTATTACCAATTTACACATTTGACCAATGCAGCTATATTGAAACACATACTTGTGAAAGGGTCCTTCTTTCCTAATTAGCCCAATTAGGGTCATTAACCAAATACCCCTACTAGCTTTCACCTGTAGCTCTTCCAGTGCACAAAACGTTCTAAGGCCCAGAATAACACATCTGTTTTAATGGTCTTTTACATGTTATACATATAAATTGCTTATGTTTAGTAAATCCAAATGTAAGATGCTACCTTTATGTGTGTCTTTACTAATAAGATACATATTTATTTGTAGGCGGAAAACCACAATGAGAGAAGAGCAACCAAAGAAAAACAGTAATGTTCTTGCCAACCAAGCTTAATAAGTGAACACGTTCATTTTTATGTGTACGATAAGCTACAGAATCCTACTTTTTTTCTATTCTGCTTACATTGTATCATTGTAGTACTTATTTGTAAGAACGATCATGTTTTTTGTTGTTGTTGTTTTGTTTTGTTTGTGTAAAGTGTAGCTTCATTCTTATTTTTTTACTTTATAAAAATAATACAAAGTTTCTTTGTTGAATTCTGCAAATGTAATAATAAAGGTTAATAATATAGAAAACCAAATCCTATACTTTGCACTATTTATTTTTTATATATTCATAAAATCTTTTCCTATCCTTCTCTAAAAAGGACCTAACATTAATGTTACAAATTAATTGATTTAAAAAAATGTCTAATATGCCACAAGATACAGGAAAAGTATATTTTTAAGGAAGCCGTACTGTTTATAATTAAGAAGCAACCTCTGAACTCCAGTCAGGTTATGGTGCCTAGGCACAGTCAGTAAAGATCTACCCTAGAGGAGAATCCTGGGAGAAAAGAGTCTGTTGCAAGCAGGAGTAAGCCTGTGCTGGGAGAAAGTTGGAGAATGCCATTGCTGAAACCTCCTTCTCTCCTTCTCAAAATGATAGCAGTCTGGCAGTCTTTGACTTCAATAATTTTTGCATAACTGACCTGGAATAGGCATACACTAGGCATGTTCTCATTCTGCTCATGAGAAAGATAATAGAGTTAATATCATTGCATGTGGCCTCCTGCACAAGCAGATGCCAACCCATCTGTAGTAAATCTCAGACCTTCACGTTGCAGTGCCTGTATTTATGAAATGGTGTGTGCATACAGCAGCCTGAACAGAAAACAGATTGCTATAAAATGCCCAGTGTTTGCCATTACCTGCGGTCCTGATCAAGATCTCAATGGGTAGGTATCTTCACTTGGGACTACCAGCCCAACAAATATTATTTGTTCTAGCCCCAATGGCAAATGCCTCTCTACACCCCAGCCCAGTACTTCCCTGGGTGTTACACTAGGCAGCCATCTGTTTGCAGAAAAAATGCCCCAGCAAGAGCAGAGTTGTATAGCCCTATTACTGTGTTTTAGGTGTAGTTTCCCTAGTTTTCCTCCAGGGATCCCTTTATTCCTAACTAGTGGGTATATAAGCCTTCTCAGTCTTCTCTGGGCTTGTTGGCGAAGAAAGCAGAACTAGAGAAGAGAACAGAGGTAACCTCAGGTGAGATTGTGTGGAAGATACAGGGCCACAGCTGGTAGAATATAGTATACCCATTTTTATGTGCTCCCCTTAGAGGGGATACTATTGTTTCTTCATCAAGTAGGTTTAGTCATTACAGCTGGAAAATCTATTAAGAACACTCCTTCCTATGGGAATACATGTGAAGGTGACTGGCCATGACCATGACACTGTAATAAAAATTGACTGTTTTGCTTTATCCTGTCATAAGTAAAGAGAAGTTAAATTGTTATTAAACCTTTAAAGTTTTTTTTTTCTTTTTATGATGAGGAGGCTCACACTTACATGATTTCAGTGTTCTTCTTTAAAGTGCTTTTCTTGCTCATCCTCCAGCTGGACCCAAAACCACTCCCCCCCCCCCTGCCTATTTATGGGTGTCTCCTTCAGCTAGCCAGATGCCAAAGAGACACCTATGCATATGCGTGCTCAGCTGTGACACGGGCCTAGCTGTGTGTATCCACAGACCCGCACAGCATGTGGCAAGCCATGCCCCTGCTCCCTCCACCTCTCTCACAGTCACAGTATGACTGATGGCAGAAGGAGCCTATCACCCCTCTGCCCTTCGTACCCTCCTCCACAACCAGGAACTTTAATGAAAGGCAATATCTTCCCTGACCCACGGAGGTGACAGGCAGAGAATGCTTTTACGGTAAAAAATGCCTAGCCCTTAGTACTACTTTATGTTCAAGCAGAATTATGGAGTCTAGTCATTCCTGTGATTGGTGGGTAGCCCAGACCTGGAGAACTCATTGTATCAGCCAGTTTGGGGCAGGAGTGTGTGGTGGTGTGATGACAGCAGGTTAGTGGCAGTGGCTGGGCTGGGCAAGCTGGGAGCTTCGGTTCAATGCCCTTGAAAAGCTTTGGCTTGGGTTCCTCCAGCCAGGAACTGGCTTCACAACTCACTGGAGTAATGTTATCTTACTGAAAAGTTTAAAAAAAATTTTCAGTGAAGCTCATACTGTGTGCGTTTGTGCATAATATATCCTCACCAAAGCATACCTAGATGTACCTCTCTAGACCGGCATCAAAATGCTAGGCAGTTCTCAGAGGTGTCCTTATATATACTCTGTTTTCCTCTAGGGCAAGCACCACAACAGCCCTAAAACCAAGGATACTCTAATACGCAAATATTATCTTGAACTGGAAATTGGGTGCTTTGTACCTCCCCCTCATTCCTCCTATGCCTCTCTATTGGTTCATTATTGCAATCAGAGTCCTCATTGACTGGTACAAGAGGGGCAGGGGCATGCTACTCAATTACCACCACTGCTTACTGTGAAAAAGTAAAGAGACATTGCTGAAACAAAGAGCGCAGGTATTAAATCTCCCTTAACCTGTTTATCTACTTAACCAACAAGAATGTATATGAGATCAATCTACAAAACTTGCTTGTGACACTGACATATTAGTGTATCATAGATAGGGTCCTGGACTACCTGTGAGAAAGCCAAGAGGAGAGAGTTAAGGTGGACATTTCCTCAATCTACAAAGCCACTTCCTTGTTAGACCACACCCCTCCATGAAAGAAAAATGTGCCCTCTAGGTAAAAAAACACCTGTGGAGAAAACTTTCAAATAATACATACCTTATACCTGGCTTCCACCTGCGGTACTTAAGGGAATGTATACACTTTCTACATGTTTCGAAACACATTACAAAAGCTTTTTACAGAAGTTATTTAAGCCACCTGCTGAAATGATGATGTCTGGTTTGTGTTACAGTTACATACCACTGAAATTAAAAACAAATCTCTAAATAATTTATTCTGCCTAGTTAAATTAAAATGATACTGAATCCCTAGGATGACCATCTATACTTTTAGTTCAATGTCTGCTAAAGTCAGATTATTGATGGGTTCAGGTTATTGTACTTGACAAAGTAATAAAGTCGACAAATTTGTACTGTACAGAGTTATACACTAAGCTAACAGTACGTGCCACTCTTGTGTAGAGGAATGGAGAATTCTACTTTGCAATCTATGAACACAATTTGTATTATGACTGTTGTAAAGCAATATTCTTTTTCACACGTATCTTTATAGCTTTACTGTCTCTTTGCGTTGCTTACTACAAGGGCAAAAACAAGATTTACTACAACCAGATGTTAATTGCACCATTAAAACTATATTCTTAACTATATTTTTCATAGAGAAGTTAACTGAATTGCACAAATCTAGAACTGTATTAGAGAACTCTAATAAATGGACTATGAACTAGGACATCATTCTACCAACTTTATCTCTTATCCCATGGAAGCAAAATGCTCTGCTTTACTTTCAGTAAACAACAAACAGCACGGAGCCCACTGTTTTCACTGCAGAATATATATGTTAGCAAACCTCAGCATTTAGCTCTACTAGATGTTTTTTTATGATATTGTTTTTTTTATGACATAATATTATTCTTACCTGGCATGAATACCCAACAGATGAGGTCAATAATGACACTGTAGAATTCAAGCTCTATAAAAATAGTGGAATAGGGATACCAAGGGGTTTATTTACTAACCTTATAAACACACCACGAACATGTATACACCTCTGTAGTGTGTTCCCTCCCAGCATGATCTTTGTCTGGTATGTGCAATACATTATTTTTATTATCCAGAATTTATATAGCACCAACAGTTTGTGCAGTGCTTTGAAAGATCGAGAGAGACAGTATGGTTGCAATACAATTCAATACAAGTGGGTTAGAAGGGTCCCGCCTGTGACAGCTTACAATCTAACACACATCCTGGCTTGCCCCAGTAGTGTCCCAAAAAAGATTGTAGTTCATCACAGGAGCGAGCTTGGAGTGGTGGCTACTTTACAACACACACAGGGACCATGGGGAACAAAAGTAGCCACCCTCCAGAAGGAAGGACAGTGTCAGCACCAATTCAGAGATGATTTGAGAATCTATAGCCGAGTGATACCCAAATAAGATACATTTTTGTTAATAGTTAAGGTACCTGGATTTTTAGGGTTTAACTCCTGAGTTTAGTGTCACTTTGATAAAGGGGATATAACTGACAAATCCATCAGTCGAGGCAAAGGGAATTTACACGCTGACGGTGTAGCGTAGAGTTCCTTTGTGTATTGAATGAAGTGAGGCTCTGCTGACTTCCATCACCCAATCATGTACAAGCAAAAATACAGGTTTTTTTTTGTTTTTTTTTCCATCATGTGATTCTGTATTCTTTACAAAGTAAAATGTCACCACATTCACCAAGCTAAGGGACAATTCCCCTGCAAAGTGAACAAGGTATTTGCCTTAATAAATGACCCTACAGAGTTAGTACAGGAGGGAAGCTGAGTGTACACAAATAATGGATGACACTTTTTTATATAAATGAACATTTTACAGACTGCACTTATCTTTTAAGCTGTTTTTTTTTAATGTGGTGTGCTTATTTCCTTTACCATGATAATTGTTATTAGAACTACTGATGACTGACACTCTAGATAAGAAAAATCCTGTCACCTCATAACCATCAAAATATGCAGGTCACATGATCATTATTGCTTCATGCATGCTCCAAAACCTTGTTGAACCAGCCTGGGAAAGTCCAGCTCAGCAATCTTGCAAGGACAATACAAATGGATTGTAGAACATTAACTCATCACACATGGGAGGAATTTCCATCCTGTCACAGAAGCAGTAGGAGTGACCGTGAATTTTGTATAAATATGAGACACAAGGCAATGCATCTGCTAAAAGTCTCTCTTCATCAAAAACAATGGCTACAAGCAGGAACCTATCTGTGTCCTTTGCTTTTCTTATGATGGTCCTTGGTGTTTCACAAGGTAAGACATTGTTTACACTTAAACTTCATTATTGGAGAATGACATTCTTAGTACAAAATGTGTTTGTCTTTCCAACT